TCACACTGACGGAGGGTCAGTGCTGAGGGAGTGCTGCACTGTTCGAGCGCCGCACTGTCGGAGGGTCAGTGCTGAGGGAGCGCCGCACTGTTGGAGGGTCAGTGCTGAGGGAGCGCCGCAATGTCGGTGGGTCAGTGCTGAGGGAGTGCCACACCGTCGGAGGGTCAGTGCTGAGGGAGCGGGCACTGTCGGAGGGTCAGTGCTGAGGGAGCGCCGCACTGTCAGTGGGTCAGTGCTGAGGGAGTGCCGCACTGTCGGAGGTTCAGTGCTGAGGGAGTGCCGCACTGTCGGAGGGTCAGTGCTGAGGGAGCGCCGCACTGTCGGAGGGTCCGTGCTGAGAATGAGAAATTCTTGTACACAGTTTTTTTACCCTCTTTTTACTCATGTCTGTGTATCTGAGTTGTAATATTAGTTATGTTGCCAAAGAGTTTGAATATATTTTGATGTCCTGAGTGAATATATTTTAATGTAAAAGGGCTTAATTCTTGATCCAACTGACCCTTGATAACTGCATTTATCTCTTTAGTCAAATGAGCAAAAGGAATGTTTATAAGTCTTCAGTCAGTCTTTCCTACAGAATTCTCTTACAATATTAAAGATTAGAGACAGAACAAATCCCTGCCTATTCTGGACTCAGATTTAAAACTAATCCTGGTGAACGCCCACTGTGTCATTGTTGATCCAGTAAATCCGACTCAGGTACACTGCGAATTCCCACATGCTGTGCAGCTGGCAGAGGGAGGGGCTCCATGACACGCTCTCAACACGGACAGATGATCAGGGGAGTGTCCGACAGACCACACGCTAATCCTTTTCATTGGGTTAAACCAAACCCCAGCAGCTTTTCTAAGGAGACATCTGTTGCCTTTAGCACCTGGCCTTCAAGCCCCCGCCGCCCCTACCATTGTAGGAGAGTGGAAAATGCCAGAGTGTATCTCTGCTGCCCTCTGTCAGTATCTTTCCTGCCTCAAAACACGTGGAAGCATCGGTCCCTGGGAACATAGGAACAGACTCTCTACTGAGCACTTTACATCAACGCTAGGAGACACCGACCTGTCAGTGTGTGTCACCCAACTCACTGACTGGTTCAAGGAGCTCTGTTCTCCTGACACAGACTGTGGGGCAGTAACAGTGTGAAGGGCAGAGAGGAAGAGGAATTCCTGAACTGTGTGCGGGAAAAGTTTCTTGATCAGTGCGTGCTCACACTCATGAGGACAGAGCAGAGTGTATAGGGGCAGGTTTCAGTGGGACCGCACTTGGGGAACAGCTGTGAAGTGGTTCTGGAAACAGGACAAGGTACAAATAAGTCAAAGAAAACTTAACTGGAGGTGAGGAAATTCCATTGAGTTGGAAAAGCTTCTGTCTCTGGTGAATCGGAATCAAAAAGAAGAATAAATCAGAAATTATACAGTTACATAAATGGAGCAATGTTGACCCACTAAAGGCTGAAAGTGGGGATATTGTCAGTGACTATGGGGAAATGACAGACATGATGAATAATTACTTTACCTCAGTATTTACAGTAGAAGAGGAAGATAGCTAGCTGGAAGTCCCGAGGACATTAATAGGGAATTGGGAGCAGCGACTGGCCAAACGTAGGCAGGTGGTACTAGTTCAGGTTAGGAACACGGTTGGTGTGGATTTGTTGGACCAAAGGGTCTGTTTCCGTGCTGTATGACTGAATAAAATTGATGGAAGTAAAACACCTGGTAATGAGAAAATTAATGGAATTAAAGAATGATGAATCGCCAGGACCTGATGGTTTCCATCTGAGATTGTTAAAGGAAGTGAGGGAGACACCCTGACTAGAACCTTTGAGTTCCCTCGGTACAGGAATTTACCCTCTGGATTGGAAAATTGCGCATCACTCCACTTTTTAAGAAGTGTGAGAGGAAAACCAGATCAGTTAGACAGGCATCTGTGGCATGGAAATTATTGCTGAACATGGTCAAGGATGGGGTAACTGAACATCCAGGAAATTTTCCGTTAAGCAGGGAGAGCCAGGTAGGTCAAGCCTGACAAACCTCATTCAATTTGTTAAAGAGGTGACTAAGGTAGTGGACAGGGGAATATCTATGGAGATAGTAGGAACTGCAGATGCTGGAGAATCTGAGATAACAAGGTGTAGAGCTGGATGAACACAGCAGGCCAAGCAGCATCAGAGGAGCAGGAATGCCCGAAACGTCAGCCTTCCTGCTCCTCTGATTCTGCTTGGCCTGCTGTGTTCATCCAGCTCTACACCTTGTTATCTCGGAATATCTATGGATGTTGTTTATATCGACTTCCAGAAGGTATTTGATAATGTCCCACATAAGCAACTGTTAATTAAAGTCAACGCCCACTGAATTGAAGGCATATTACTATTATCACTGGGAAGCTGTTGAGTGGCAGGGGACAGCAAATAGGGTTCATGGATAGGGACACATTTTAGCAGGATGTGACTGGGGTGTCCCACGAGGATCTGTGTTTGACTATTAATTATTCACATTATTTATGAACAACTTGGATAATGGCAGAGAGGGTCAGTTATGGATCAGACCAGAACCCCTCAAAATATTTTAAGAAGATAGCTTAGACACTAGC